CCTTACTAGTAGTAACAAGAAGCTATTAGTAACAAGTGCATCGCTAGAAGTAACAAGTGCCTTACTAGTAGTAACAATGTTTGCTAGTAGAAACAATAAGCTAATAGCTTCTTGCTCCTAGTAGTAAGGCCAGGAGCAACTTGTAGCGTCCTTGCTCCTAGTAGCGAAGCCCTTTGCTCCTAGTAGCTTCTTGCTCAACTATTGTAAATCATGCAAAATCGTTGAACTATGCCTTCTTTGTTTACTAGGGAGGCCATCGCTACTAGCATGGAGCAGCATTTGTTTGTAGTAGAAAAGGCCCAGAACGGTTTCATTCATGTCCGGTTAGAACGGTTTCATTGTGTGTTTTTACGTGTCTTTACTAGTAGGAGCAAGGACGCTACTAGTAGTTCCTGGCCATACTACTAGGAACAAGAAGCTACTAAAACACGTGTCTTGGACTTCTTTCGAGGCGGCCGAGGCGGAAGACTTCCGCGCCTTGGACTATTTGCTCCGCCGAGCGGAACAGAACACACACCTTTGTGGCCTCCAGGCGAGCGAAGACACAGAGCTTCTCATCACTTCTAGGAGCGATCGGACGCTACGAACGGGGCTACTTCTAAAGGTCTGAAGAAACGTAAGTAGCAACTAAGCCTAAAGGACATCAGAATCTACAAGTTCAATTGGGGGTATCAAACCAGCGTCGGCTTCTCAAGCATGGCGTTGGAATTTGGAAGTTGGGAATGTCTTGCCTTCGAGCGAGTCATAGGTGAAGGAGCTGGACCTCGAGCAGTTCCAGCAGCTCGCTCAGAAGCATCAGGCGCCGACAGAACATCGAGAAAGTGACGCGGGTCTTTCCTCGCTGGTAGGAGCAAGAAGCTACTAGGGGCTCCTGGCACACCATCGCGATCGGTCCAAGCGTCTCGCAGCCACACCCACTCTGGAGTATGGTAAGTGAAAAGAAAAGGACACAGGTGGTCACACACACACATGTACACTAATTAGCAGCCATCGGCAACACGACATCCCACGTGTTCAATGGCCTCCCGGCACCATTGTCAAAGAGGTGCACCAGCTGCAGTCTCTCATGATCGGACATGTAGACTGACACTCCAGCAACAATTCCCTTGGGGAACGCACAGCCGCAATATTTGTTGGTTGTCGCAATAAGATCGCCCGGCAAAATTTGATTGTTGTCCAGACGAAGAGATTGCTTCAACATTGAACGAAATACCACGATCAGGTGGTGATAAAAAAACTTACACCAGCTTCCAGTTGTGTGTGAAGGTGGCCCCTCCACCAAAACAAGCATGCAAGTTCAGTTGCAGCCACACACGCGTCATCGGACAACTTCCACCGAAGGTTCTGTAAAAACGTTCGAAAGTGACGCCAGTCATCCTCGGTAAAGCTCCACCGTGGCGGTGGGGGTTGCCGAGTAAAGATCTTTGGCTTCCAAGGAAGTTGTGAGAGCTGAGCACCCCACAACCACTGGGGAAAGCGCGATACAACTGATGCCGCAGTGTCAGAAGAAGTCTGGGGTGGTGACTGATACGTCGGAGATGGCTGCTTAACTTCAAGAAGCCAGTTCAACATAACTAACCACTCTTGTCGGCGTAATATGGCTTGTTCAATGACCTTCTGGTCAGAAGGACGAATAGGTGCCTGCTCTGTAGCTAACCAATTCGCTTCCCGATCTGCAATACGGTTGGCAAGAATGTCACGTGACGTAGAGCCACACTCACGTGCTGCTGCCTCAGAAATAAGCTCCGCCGGCAGATGCTCGAGGAGGTGACTCGGTATCCACGAAACAATGAAGGGAGCATTACAAACCTCGAGGCGCAAGGTCAGCACTCTGCAGATTTCACGCCACCACTTTTGGCGCGACCAGCGTGGGTCAACTTGTCGTGCGCGGCAAAGATCGTTGAACTGTTCCACAACAGATTGGCAGTCTGACCGAACATGTATCCGGCCACGTGCAAGCTTGACAACCCGAAGGAGGGCAAACAACTCTGTTGTATAGGCGGAAAGTTCCCAATGACGAACAGGTCCTGATTCCACCACCTGAAAATGGGCGTCAACGATGGCATACGCTCCGGTAGCCAGCCAGAAGTAATTGCCCCACTGCACTGAGCCGTCAGTCCAGAAGTATTCCAGCTGCTCAGGATCAAAAAGCACTGATGTATCCCCGACAGGGGAGAGGCCAAGCCTGTGGATGGCAACCTTCCTTGGATGAGCGCAGAGGCCAAATGTGGAAAAATTGAGCCCAAACTCATGGTCAGGGGGCCGAGAGATTGCAGATGCAACCCCAGGGCATGAATAGACAAGGTGGTCCCAAGTCTCCTTCTCACAATTGCACAGTCTGCACCTGGGTGTGGGAACAAGTTCAGCCCGAAACAGGCGGTCATTGGTCAAGTTGCATCCTACTTGAACAGATTCGAAAAAGATCCGGTTTGGGATCGTCGAGTCAAGGTGTAATCGAGAGCGGCGGTGAAAAAGAGAGGACAAATCTGGGTCAAAGATGTCCTGGCAACTCCGGAGGTCCTTGCGAGTCGACTTGGCGGCTTCATTATAGCATCGCTGTCGGGCAAAGTATTGCAGCGGTTTAGTAACATCCCGGTGATTGAGCTCGTAGAAAGGAATGAGACTTGATCCACGAAATGAAATGCACAAAGCTGGATGCAACGTCAAACCAAGATGCCCCAAGGCATCCGCAATCATCTGAATCAATGAGCCACGGGGCCAAAGCCGGGCATTTTGAAGATCACAGCATGTCTGCACAGCACTAGGCATATGGTGAAGGAACCTGACAAAGTCGAGAATGGCCGCATACGCCCTGGCTAACATGGGCTCGACGCGGTGGGGTTTGGCAACAATACCAAGCACTAGCAAGCGAGCTCTCCAATGAGGTCGTCGAGCCCAAATGACATTAACAACCTCATTTTGTGTCTTCCAAAGGACTTTCTGCAGAATCTTAGTGATAGCCGCACCATATGTGAGCTGCGGAATAACCTTGGTCCCAATCAGATGCTGCTTAACATCTTGTGTCAAGGGGGGAGCGGCGATATTCCTCAGGTCGTCAACGACTTTAACTCCTTTCTTTGAGTCAAAGTCAAAGGATCGTGAAGAGGAAACATACATCTTGATGCCCAAGACATCAATCACATCCGCCAGGGGAATGTCTGGAAAGAGAGCTGCCACTACTTTTTTCTTCTTGGGGTCTGAAACCCATAATTGGCATTTGGTGGGATTGGACAGTTGGCCGGTCAATGCATCCCAAAACTTCGTAACATCTAAGGCTCGTTGGAGGTCTGCGATATGGAGGATATTGGCCCACGTATAAGCATCATCTATGAAAGCCTTGGTGGTAATCGTGGGAATGAGATTGCAAAAAATCGACCACACAGCCATGAACAAGTTGATGGCTATGAGGGATAACGAACATCCCTGCGCGACCCCATTGGAGGCCGTCGTGGCGACAGGGGATATCCACCCTCGCACGCCGGCGTAAGTTGGCATAGATCTGGAGAAAGAAATGCACGACACCACGTGGAAGGCCGAAAGCCAACATGAGCACACCAGCCATAGCTGGAATGAGGCGGTCAAAACATTTAGACTTATCCAGCTTGAGGCCAACTAACACTTCATCTTCATGCTTAGCAACGTCAAGGTCTGACCTTAATTGTGTGTGTGTACGGCAGTCATGGTACGACCTTTGATGGCTCCACACAAGTTTGGAGGAAGTGCTGTCTGCTGCCATGATTGGAGTTGCCAAAAGCGTAAACCCAAATAGGATAACAGAAGTGCAGGAAGGAGGGTGATTAACCTCTTTTTGCATCGGCGAGGGATCCCCGTTCTTATTGAGCACCATCTGTTTAGCAATGGTCAGCACATCAGGGAGAGGGGTGAGCTCTTGTTCAACTTGATTAAAAATCAATGCAATCGGCGCAAAGGCAAACCACGGGAGTCTTTGAAGCTCTTTGGTCCTCCAACCATCTAAGCCGGGAGCGGCCTCGGGCTTACGCCTATGAATCTGGTCATGAAGATCACGGGCAGTAATCTCGGGGACTTGGGCTGGATGGGACAGATGTGACACATAAGGCCAGATCACCTTAAGGACACCCTGAGGATCTTCATGCAAGGCATTGACACCGAACACCCCATCCCATTGAGAATTAAACTCAGCCAGGGCATCCAAGGGTTGGTAGACGATGTGACCATCACCATCAGTAATCAGGTTGGGAGGCACATCAGAAGCCTTTTGTTTCAGGTGTTGGAAGATGTATTTCATACTACCATCAGCGGAGGCTTGCATCTTCTCCTTCCAAAGCTGAATTCGACTCTGCCTTGTGGTGTGGGTGACCTGTGAAAGGACACCTTCGAGCCAAGACAAGCAGTCAAACACCTGCATCAGTGTCGGATACCGGTGGGACTCCCAAACATGTGGACAGGACCAGTGAACAAGGATGGATCGCGCCTTGCGTAAGGATCCAGAGAGGGTAACACCATCTTCAAAGGATTTCACCGGTCGCGCAAGCCGAAGGGAGACCTCACGAAGGATATTGACAGCTCTGGCAATGCGTTTGGTTTTCCGCGAGAGAGCATCCCATGGTTAGTCTGTCCCGGACAGATTCGTGTGGGGCGAAAAACAGGTAGGGTCCCTCGGTGCTTCGGACCTTTATCCCAGGTGCCACCATTGGCTGTGAGGACATGAATGAGGTACTGGTTAGTGATGTCCCATTTGTCATCAACCGACGTGGCAGCATGGAAGGCTTGTTCACTACCAGTGGTCCAAAGGTGGACGGCATTTGTATGACACGGACAAAGTGGATCTTCCGAGTCAGGGATTGTACAATGGTCAAGGTTAAAGGGGGCAGGTTTGACCAACGTGAAACCAACCTGCGTGATTCAGTCCCACTCGAAGAGGGCACGGATCGGCCTGTGTTGAACCTTTAATTCCAACACTTCGATATGACGCAAGGCAGAAAAAGCAATGTGATTACACAGGATACCATCGATGGATGTACACCGGTCTCCGTGCCCGGTGAATAGACTATCGTTGGAGTATGTTAACGGTCGAAAAAGGTCACCTGCATCATCAACACTGAACAAGGGATCCACCCAGGAATGGTGGTTGACGGCTGCCGAAACAGTGCGATATTGGAGAGGATTCATGTGAAAGTCCCCACACACGATGACAGGCACCGATCCAAATTGGGCAGCGCATTCAAAGATCCGTCCCAACAAAAGGTCATTTTCCTCATGGACTTCAGGGCACTTTGATGCCGAGGTTTTGGCGTAGACCGAAAACACAAGGAGCTTGACCTTTGGGGCAACCTGCGCCCAAACCGCAACGACTCTTTTGGACTCATACAACGATCGGTATGTGGTGCAAACACTGGGACTAAGGGGGGTGGCGAACTCGCTGCTCGCCAGGATGGCTGTACCCCCCGATCCAGATTTGACAACTCCGTTGGACTGTAAAATGCCAGGCAGTAAGCCTCCATGAAACAATTTCTTACCACAAGCGTCAACATCTTTGGAACAGGATCTCACATTATTTTTCCCAACGCGGGTCTCCTGAACACATATAACATCGTCACCGCACGTGGACCAGAAAGTGTTCTTCTTAAGGGAGCCAATGTTAGCAGTAACAATGGAGAGCTGAGGCTGTCCAGCAAACCCAGGTCCTTCGCCTGGGAAGCCCAACGTACAGTCAAAAAAGACAGGGAACCACGCTGGATTGGTTCCGGAGGTGCAAAAAAGATAGGTGCACTCATGACCCCTGGAGGCGACCCGAAACATGCAGTAATTAGGCCCTGAGCCTAAAGCGAATGCGCTGCATAAGGCGGCA